GGTCTAGCAATTTGGCATCTCACACGAGTGAAGAAAACACGTTATGAACTGGCCTAAGCTTGATGGAGTTAACACCACATCCATCGAAGATGTGGGTGACCTGCTGCAGGACGATAGATCAATGTTCACGTCAAACTGCCTAGCAGAACCTGCCCTTGCACGTACGGACCTCAGCACTAGTGGCGTTAAGATGCCACCCGTTCTAGTGCCGATCGGCAGAGACCCCCTGAAAATCGATCTAGGTCCATGCAGTCTGCTTACCAGCCTGCTGGCGCGCTCGTGGATAGGTGGGACGTGAGGTATGCTGCACGTAGGACTGTGCCTTGTGTGTAGGCCACTGCTGGACTGCCTACGCGTAAGAGCACCAGCTTCGCCTGCGCACAGTCCCGCAACACCTGCCGTCTGGCTCGTTTTTGACACTTGCACATAGGCTATCCGTAAAAGTGAAAGAGTAGCAATCGTGAAGACCATTTCTGTACGATAGGCAACTACGAATACGTACGCAAAAGAAAAGGATGGAAAAATATCAAGCGCTGATTCGTGGCAATGCGGTTGTTTATAAAAAATTTCACTGAAAGTAAAGATATACAATCGGCGATATTATACATGACAGACAAAGACTACCTGCCATGCCCAATTACACAAACGACGTCCCGCACTACTGTGGATTGCATGAGACCACTGCCAACACAAACAGAAGATGCTACAACGCATGCCCTTCACTACTCCCGAGGTAATCTTGATCCAATATTCGTGAATTCATCCAATTTTATTTTTATGCATAAATTAGTGCCAGGATTACTAGACGCTGCCGTTTCAACTCTAGAAGCCACGACAATTCGCCGCCCCCCCCCCCGTGGTGGCACCATGCACGATGCGTCGTTTATACCCTAGACAGTCCAACCATTCGAACCCCCCCCCCTACAGCGTGCGCTCGAGCTACAGGCGATGGGTCCCCCGGGAAATTTCTATTAAACTGTAGACCTGCCCTTTAGTTCACCCTAAAGCCACAACAATTCGACCCCCCCCCCCATAGCACGTGCGCTCGACTACAGGCGATGGTCCCGGCAAATTGTCTAATTAAACCGTAGAGCGCTGGCGCCGTCAGTTCACCCTAGAAGCGCACAACAATTCGACACCGCCGCTGCAGCATGCGCAGCGAGCTACAGACGATTTTATGGTAGAACAACCCCCCCATCCGCCTCCCTGCTGGCAAGGACAAATCCGTGAGCATACTATGTACACGACAAACACCCCCTCCCTCTCGCTCCACCCGCGCGCTGAGGGACGAATCCGTGGCGTACTATGTACCAACAATACCCCCCCCCCCGCTGAGGGACGAATCCGTGAGCGTACTATGTACAAGCAAACTACCCCTCCCCTCCCCTCCCCGCTGAGGAACGAATGCCGTGAGTCGTAACTATGTACAACAAACACCGGCCCCTCCCCTCGCCTCCCCCCCGCTGAGAACGAATCCGTGAGCGTAGCTATGTACAACAATACCCCCTCCCCTCTCCCCGCTGTCAGAATGATTCGCATGAGCGTACTAGTACAACAACCCCCCTCCCCTCCCCGCTGAAGGGACAAATCCGTGAGCGTACTATGTACAGGCAACTACCCCCTCCCTCCCCGCCGCTGGTGGGACGAATCGCGTGAGTCGTACTATGTACAAGACGAAACCGCCCCCCTCCCCTCCCCCGCTGTGGGACAGGTAATCCGTAGCGTCCTAACCTATGTACAACAAACACCCCTCCCCTCCTCAATGTGGCGAAGACCCCTTCCGTCCCCGGACCGGCTGAGGCGACTCGAATCCCTGCCAGCGTTACCCTGCTGCGATGAGGAAGCAGGAGCGCTCTGCGCGGCGGGCAAAACCCGCCTCGACAGGCAGTCCGATCGTCGCAGCCTGACCAGGACGCCGTACCATCGCCCGCACCGCCCGATCGCCGCCAGCGCCCCCGCGCCCGTCGATGCGAGCCCGCGGCCAGCAGCAGCGCAGCACCCGCCTGCGCTCGCCTGGCTCATCCCCCGCCGCGGGCAGGCCCGCGGACAGGGATCGACGGCGGCTCGTACTTGACCTGCGACTGCGACGCGGGCGGGCACGGCCGGCGCCAGCTGCAGCGGCTTCGCGCCGGCGCTCGAGCCACAGAAGTTCCGCGCATGGCCGTAACTGGACTGTTTCGCGTTCTGCAAGCGAGCCGCACGTACGCGCCCATCTGCAGCACGTTCCTGCACCTTCGCGCCGCCGCGGGGCCAGCCGCAGGTGAGCGAGGGCAGGATGTGACGTCGGACGTCGTCGCCCGTGCCGCGCGCAGCAGCGTCGACGGAGCGGGAACGGCGGCCTGCGTGACGGAGCGGACGCACGCCGGCAGCCGGCCGGCGGTGGCTGCGCGCTCAGCATCAAGCGTGGCGAGCATCCGCCGGCGCGCGCCGCCCTCGACGGCGACGCACGCCGACCCGTCGCTCGGCGGCAAATCGTGGACGCCGGCGTCCGCCGCGCCGA